GGGGGGGGGGGGGGGGGGGGGGGGGGAGACCCGGTTTGCCAAGAGGGGCGTTGTTCTCCCCTTATGTTTGAAATGCAGAAGGATGGCTGTTTGAGCTTCTCCCACACACACACAACACTCGACCCTGGGGTTGCCGTTACTTATGGCAAAGGGGTGGGCAGTGGAACATGGGCTTATGTTTGAAATGCAGAAGGATGGCTGTTTGCCACTAGTCCTCATTGAGATTTGCTCTCCCGGAGAGCCCTGCTTTTCAACTGCTTTCTCCGCTCTTCGCCCCCCTCCCCCCCCCACCGCAAGCAGTTCAGAAACGGCAACCTAAAACTTCAGGGGAAGGGGAGAAACAGCACCCCCCCCTCCTCACGAGTTGCAAGTGACGCCCTGACCACCGAGTGGCAGATCTGGACTGCCTAGAGGGGAGGGACGGGGGAGCCCATGTTCCACTGCCCACCCCTTTGCCATTAGTAACAGCTACCCCAGGTCGAGTGTGGTGGTGGGGGGTCTCCAATGCTTAGCGCAAACTACCATCCTTCTGCATTTCAAATATAAGGGGAGAACAACGCCCCTCTTGGCAAACCGGGTCTCTCCCCCCCACCCCATCTCGTTGGAGGTCACACAAATGTCGCACTGAACAACAGGAAGTTTTGACTCGATTGTGGCTGCTAATCCGCAAATTACCGGTAATCCTTCTTCGCAGTTTAGCTCAGGTGTGGGTTCCTGCAATAAGTATTTAGCTTCTTTTGTGAATTTTCCACTGCTAGGGCCGTTATTGAGTTCTGCCCCATTTTACGCCCTTTCTTACCACAGCGATGAAGTGACTCGCTGCCATTGGTAAGGCAGAAAAGCAGTTGTTAAATGAGTCAGTCTTTCCCATTGCCAATAAGTCAGTTGTCAAGAGCCTCACATGACAGCAGGTATGTTACAACGGTCGTTAAGCATGAAAAACGGTCGCCGATCACTTTTCCGATGCTGTCGTAACTCACTAAATGGATGGTTCTAAATGGAGGATTACCTGTAGGGCTGTCCAGGCATGTTAAACAGGTGGCAGGTGGGGCGCATATGGGTCAGCAAAGGCAGAAAACGTCATGATAGTCACAGTCCGATTCGCAACGCAATCCACTTTCGCACCAGTGCTGTACACCAATAGTCCCCATTCGTTTGGGCACCGCGGACCGGTTTTGTAGAAGACAATGGACCTGGTGTGTGTATATATGTCTGTGTGTGTGTGTGTGTGTGTGTGTGTGTGTGTGTGTGTGTGCATGTGGTTTCACAAGCTACCTAGATTCCCCATATCCATGATGAAACTTTCTTCACTTGTGCAGACACACTTTCCAGAACCCTTGCTGTATACAAATGCACAACCACAAATTTCGAACAGCCTTTTTATTGCACATACGACCACCGGACGTTTAGAAAGGAGAACACCTTAAGAAAAATGTATCACAATAACAATGAAAAACACAATACCCGCAAAGACACCGGCAACACGATAAGGATTACGCAGCCAACTTCTCTCTGATTTTCTCCGGGCCGTTTTGTTCCCATCTAGGAACAGTTTGATGCATTCATCCCATAAGTTGTGCTCCAAGTACAGCTGGTTGACATAGTATCTCCCCCCGTTCGCCAAAACGGTTGTCTGCACCATCTCCATCAGCTCCAAGACCTGCCTCTCCCGATCGGCTCCCACCGCCTTGTTGTTGAACCCACAGAAGCGGTTGCCGCACTGCTGGATCAGGTCCTGCAGATTCTTGTTGTCGGACTTTCGGACATACTCCTGCAGGGAGTCCCCGCCCAAATCCTCCACGCAGGTGAAGAGGACGATTGTGTGCCTGGCGGACTCGGCCCCAAAGATATCCCAGACACATTTTGCAGCGGTCACGTCTTCCGCGGTGAAGCGTCCCGTCTGGGTTACCAAAATGAGGACATGCGGACCCGGCCGGGAGACATCGATGCAAGCCATGACCTCACGTCGCACAATCTCATTGTAGTTGTCAGAATCAAACATGGCTGGTGTGTCGACCACGGTGACCGTCAAGCCCTGCCAGCTGCTTTGCCCCCTTTGGCACTTTAGGGTGGTGATCTTTGCTGTCAAGGTGGACTCAAACACTCTCCGGTCGAGGATGGTGTTGCCCGTGGCACTCTTTCCGCCGCCGGATTTTCCAACTAGAATTAGCCGGAGTTCCTCTGTGAGTGTTGAAGACACAGAATTGCTGAGGTCCATTAAAGAAGAGTCCTTACTGATTGCAATTGGAAATACAGGTAGTCCTCAACTTACGACCATTCATGTAGTGACCAAAGTTAGAACAGTACTAAAAAAATGGGCTCAGGACCCTTTTTCTCACTACCAACCATTTCAGGATCCCCGTGGTCACATGACCAGACTGGTTCATATTTATGACGGTTGCAGCCTCCTGGGGTCATGTGATTCCCCTTTCACGACCTTCTAACCAGCCGCATCAATGGGGAAGTCAGATTCCCTTAACAACCGTGTGACTCACTTAACCACTGCAGTGATTCACAGGTCATAAAAGGGGGCAAAACTCATTTAACAAATGTCTCACTTAGCAACAGAAATGTGAGGTTCGATTGTGATCATAAGTCGAGGACTACCTGCCCTCAATTTTGGCGTTTCAAAATAATGACATGTTAGTGCCAATATTTTATGGTCTCTGGGCCTCATTGGGTCTTTTGACTGGCCTGGGTGAATTGCTATTAGTAGTAGCCTTCACTTTACGAAGAAATTATGTTGTTAAGTGAGACAGTTGTTAAGCGAATTGCG